TGTGGGAGAAAGCCAAATGAGCATTACTGGCCTGCGACTCAGTGGTCACAAACAAAAGGACCGCAAGAGACACTGAGGTGTTATAATTCATTTTAAGCATTCAAGGGGCCATGAGTCCAATAAACCACATGTGAAATATGGTTGCTTCCACACGCATTGACATCCAAAATCAATGCGAGGTGAATCCATTTAAAAGTTGCCAATATCCTAGATTTTGCTTTTCTTTATTGGTCCTTTTCAACTTTTATAATGCAAACCTCTCTTCTTTAAAAACATCAGCTATTTTGTCGTCAAAATCCATCAAAGTGATACAATCAGAAAGTGTCTCTGCTCAGTTCAGGGGGTGAAAAGCTTCCGAATGCCACACACGTTGCAAAGGTCACTTTTTTCCATAGCAGATCCCACATGCTTTCACATGTATTGCCGGTTGCATGATAGACAGGGCAGTTTGCGTTCAGGGGTTTCCAGAGAGAACTGTTCTGGAAAGACATCAAAGGCGATATTACATATAATAATAATGGTCTTGTCACTTTGATGGGTTCAGGAGACCTGAGATAAAGCACTTCTTTCCTAAAATGCAAGGTTGGAAAGGTCGCCATAAAATTTATTGTTTCTCTTGAGTATTTTATGTTACTTAAAAGTATAGGCCTACAGAAATAAAGCAATTCAGACACCTTTTGTATGATGTAAAGAAAAAACTGATTTGTTTTTTATTTTTTATTTTAATAAATTATATATTTTTGTTTTATTTAAATCTACTGTCATTTATTTTATTACGTTTAACTATATTTATTGACATTTATTGTTAAATTTAATCAAATAAATGACATTTAAACAAAACGAATGAATACCATTTTAAAAATGTAACAATTATAGGCCTACTTTAGACTTTTTGAATTGATTATATTAATTTTTTTCATTTATTATTAACAATAAATGTTATCAAAATCATATATTTACAAAATAGGTGTTGTAAAAGGAGGAGGACAGCTGCTTATTACTCCGAAGACAAAAAGTCACATTAAGCTGAAGAAGAAAGGGAAAGGAGTGAAGAAGGTGGAGAGGGGATGATGCTGGATATCGCCCATCTGTGCACAGGAACGACAAGGCATTACTTCTGGGCCGTAGCTGACAAGTGAATTGAGTAATTGCCAATCGTGGCAGGCTTGTGCTAATGAGATTTCATTCCTGAGCCCCGAGCCAGTCTCTCCTCATGCATGATGGAGTTTAATTATGTGTGAGTACAGAGATGAGCAAGATGTTTGGGCATGATGTTGTCCTAAATGAACTTCTCATTCACTCACACCGTTCATGCCATCATGCCAAATTTCCTCCATGAAAATTTTGGAGGGGAAAATGTCATGCATATTCATTTCATGCATAATTTACAAAGCTAGACTGCCTGACGCACTCTGAAAAATGAAGGTTCTTTTTTGGGCATCAATGAAGAACCGTCAATATCCATGGAACCTTTCCATTCTATTAAAAAGGTGCTTTTATAGTGGAAAATTGTTCTTTAGATTATGTTCAGTTGAAGGTTCTTGTACCAAAAACATACTTTGGGGAACTTAAGAGTACCTTTTAAGATTTGTCATTAATTTCTATTACCAGTCCTAGAAATCACCTTTGCACCTTTCCTTGTATTTCCAGGTTGTATTTGATTTTTGTGGTGGAATGACACATAGGTGGTGTCAGTGGGTTCAGTCCAGTAGTCACTGAGTGGTGCTGGCAAGCCTCTGGGTCACCGCATGATCTGAGCCCTTTATAGACGGTCACAAAGAGCTGAATGAGTCGATCTATGGGAACACTGACAGGCTATCGTCCTCAGGCGCTGCATGCGGCTAACCTGTGTTAAAAATCAAAAGAGTAATGATATCAGGGTCATCCTAAACAAATAATATTCATCTTCAATATCATTTGAATACAGTGGTCTGGTAAAAGAAAGATGAATCCATTTGAAAAATCACCATTTGAATCCATTAGATTTTTCTGTTTGGAAACTTTAAGAGAAAAAAATGACTAACAATAACATATAAAAGGAGATTTGAGAATGTGGACTTCTCAAATGGAACCAAGAACGTCAAACTGGAATGTCCCAAAAGTAGGTCAGCGGTAACCTTGTGTGGGATTAGTCAGAGGTGTTTTAGTCCACTGAAACCCTCAGATATTTGTGTTAGAGGCATTATGAATCACATAACTCAAGGGCAAAACACTGACAATGTGTCATCATCCATTTGTACGTAAGAGCATACAGAGAAAAATTTGTTACAGAAATTATATCAGGCCAGCACTTTATTCCATGAATAAATACCTCCTTAGCTCACAAAGCTGACCCCATCCTTAAGCTGGAGAGAGATAAATTACTTTTTCTGAACTGAAATTTCATGTCTCTTCATTTGCTGCCATGTTTTGGTCCTCCTAGGTCAAGGACACCCTTGAGGGCACTTGAGGAGAAGTCACTTTTGATGTGTGTCTACAAAGCATTTGGTCAAGATGAGTGCAAAAGCACTGTGTACTGTAACTACTATGTTTCTCTATGTACTGGTTTTTATACAGTACTGTTAAAGTACCCGAGTTTTCAAGCTTCAAAATGAACACAAAATTATCATCTACTGTACATACATAAAACTTAAGTGTTAAGTCGTACAATAGATTTTTGTGAGGAACAGATCAAAAATTAAGTTGTTAATTGAAGATCTCCCCCTCCAGAGGAAGGTTCACTAAGCTGAACTCGAGAACCCCCAAAAAAACCAGTAAACTAGCGAATCATTCTCTGTATGCTATGCTATGCTTCAGATGCACGCATTGTGAACCGGATCAACCAATTGATTTAAAATATCTGATTCAAAAGAATTATTCATTAACGAATCGGACATTGTTTTCTCATGAATGTGAATTTTGGTCTATTCTTGACACGAAGATACCATATGACAACAGAAGATTAAGTAGGCCTAATATGGAATAGGGGTCTACTTTTATGTATTCTAAATGCATTCAGAAAAGTACATTCTGTAAAATTACTCCTTTTGTGTTTCAGAGAAGAAAGTCCTACAGGTTTCGAAAGACATGAGTGTGAGTAAACGATGACAGTTTTCATTTTTGGGTGAAATATTCCTTTAATGTTGCTCTATATAGTCATGTGGGAATTCACAGGTGTTTTGGGGAGGTTTAGTCTGACAGATGGTCTGAAAGTCGGGGTTCAGAATGTATGTCAGTAGGTCGCCATTAAAGGGGAGCCATAAACACTACAAATCCTTGTTAGAGCAATGACAGCCCACTCTTTGACCTGAGGCATCAACATATTCGCAGGCATTAGAGAAAAGTCACATCTTACTCATCTACAACAATATCTTTTGGCTAAATCCTCAAACAAGCAACTGTAAGAATGCATTAAAATTGTATCCATTCAAACCACACACACATACATAGGCTACATATTAGGAATCATAGGTAGTTTGACTTAAATACGTTATGACACACATTTAATGCATAAAAAAATATATATATTGTACGTTATAATTTGCATGTTAATGTATGCCCACACATTCCCAACAGCTGACTTGCATTTTCTCACCCGTTCCTTTTAGCTGTATGTTTTCCTTTATTTTATAGAGTCACTGTTGCAGTTTCTGTTTGGGTACTCAATAGTAAAAGCTGTCTTTTGTCTGTCTAGGGACATTTGCGCCATGTCACCCTGTGGAAGCGCGGACCAGCCCCCCTTCAGAGTCTGTCACAGGCGGTCACTGCAGGATCTTTTGTTGATCATGTAGCTGTTGCAGTTTCAGCTGAAAACATACCTCTGGTTTTACTGTATGGCACACACATTAAAGAAGCATTTTTGGTGGGGATTTCTACTAGCCCAGAAATTTGAGGAGTGAATCAGAAACGTTACTGGTGGTGGTTTGGCTTTTAGAGACTTGTTTGTTCTGTAAAATACAATTTAGTAATCTTTTGGTTAGCTCAGATTCAAAAGAAAAATTCATAATCAATAAAAAATATTATTATTATTAAGATTAATATGAGTGGACTAGCTGTAGTGCTGTGACGTAACAACACTGCCATCTACAGTCAATTATATAATTATATTAAGAGTTTATATCTGTTATGCATAGGCTATTTATAATATGTTAGAAATATCGTTTATTTGAATATTGTGAAAATTGTGAATATTCATAACTTAAACATTATCATATTAAGTTTCTTAAATAAAAAAAAATAAAAATTGAAATAAAAAAGTTAAACTAAATATTAACCTCTTTCCGTATCAATGACCAATCATTGTCAAAGGTGAACTTTTAAGCCAATCAGCTTTCGTTTTTACTCAAGTGCGTCATCAAACCTGCGTGTGGTAAACGCCACAGTTGAAAATAAACTCAACATTAGATAAAATGTCGGTAAAAAAAAATAAAAATATTGGAGTTTTTCAGGATAAGTGTTAAGTGTATCGACACGGTAAGTAGATTTAGATGGAATGGGGCTCTCCATTCGATTATAAATGTTTGTATGATATGTATTGATATTGATTGGAAAGATTATATTGCATCCTTGATTACTATATTGAGGAGAGATCGTCTGTGTACGACAAACAAAACGTCCGCAAACAAAACGTTTTGAAAAATGCAACATTGTGTGGGATAGTTGAGTACATTGTAATGTTCACATAATGATATGAGCTAGTATAGGGCATCTTAGCTTGCAGATTCAGTATTTGCACTGTTATAGTAGAAGGTCTACTGTAGTTCAGATCAAGTGTGTATGTAATGCAGAGACAACGACTCCTAGTGGTGTAAATCTGCAACCTCTTGGTTAAAACTCTCCCTGAAGGGCTGTCTCCATACTGTACTTGCATGTATGGGAATATGTTTGTGTAGTCAGCAGGATAACATTCAGAAGAAGCTTGTCATGTCAAACCCCAGGCAGACTAAAATGTGCCAAGAAAGTCTGATCAATTTAAGACGCCCCTGATTCTTAAATATTACTCTTTTTTTTTTAAGACGCCCCTGATTCTTAAATATTTTCCTTTTTTTTTTTTTTTACCTTTGCATCATAATGACTCCAACATGCATGTGTTTGATTCGGTATCAAAATGCCTAATTTTTAATACAACGGAAGTTAATTCAAATAAGGATGTGTTGTGTTTGACAGTTTGTGACATAATTATACATTTTGTTAGACTGTATACAATTTAAGATGCTCTGTATATACCATTAGTGTAAAAATTAACTCACTTTTTAGTGAAGTAATGTAAATTAATTACCCTCTCTAAATACAATAAATTTGTCTACTTGTTATAATATTTTCTGTTAGAAAGCGGGTATTGTAGCTGTGCACTTCCTGTCTTCATAGCACTGACAAGTGAATTTGTTTTTCCAGTAAGTGAGATCACTTGGAGAGGGGGTCCCCGTGACCACATATTTCCCATCTTTCCTAATGATTTGGTGGCTTTCTGAACTAATGTGAAGGTAATCGTCTGAGTTGTAGTTTTTGCGGACACAGCATCCATTGCCTTGACAGAGACTTTTGCTACAGAGCTGGGCCGCAGAGGTGACATTGGCAATGTAGGGGTTTAAAGTATCAGATAGGTATGCAGACAAGGCTTCACATGAGGTCTGAAAGGAAAGAGAAGCATTAAAATTACTGTAATTTTGTCATGCTTATGTCATGTCATTCCAAAAACATGATTTTCTTTCTACTATGGTTCAGGTTGGGTCTATTAAGCTTTAGAAATACAACATAGCACAGTAATAGTGGTCCATACAACTTGCACTATATTCAAAGTCTTCTGAAGCCATATTATATATTTATGTGTAGTCCAAAACTAAAATCTTTATTTGCTGACGATTCCATGAGCTCTCACATTTTACCTGTTTTTGTGTACTATAAACATGTTGTTTGATATCAAAAACATTGCATATTATGGATTTTGTGACCAGTTGTTAATTTACAGTATATATCCATTTTGCTGGAGAAACAAGTGGCGGTGCGGTTGTCACGCTCACCAGCACAGCCATAGACAGAACTGTGACTTCTAAACAGAGGTATGTACCGAACCACCATTTTTGTGTGCTGTTACACCCCTATCAGTTGTCATTGGTGTAAAACCTGGCACAAAGCATTATGACCTATCATTGATTGAGATGTGAGAGCATTATGGAGCTCAACGTCACCAGTCTCAGGAAAATAGCAGCAATGATATTCTACAGATCATTATCTTTTGTGTTTTATATTAGATACATGAATAATATGTAAAAAAAAAAAAAAAACTATTGCTTTAAGAAAAAAAAAGAAATTACCTTGTCTTTGTAATCAGCACTAGCCCCCCATAGCACAGCCCCGGAAGCTCCCAGGGCTGCACTCTCACCGATACTGCTTACCAAATCAATCTATAGAAAAACAGACAGCATATTACTGCAAGAAACCTATATGGCCTAGACCTGTGGTTTCCTAGAGTACCCTCAACACTGTGCAATCTGCATGTATCCTTTGTCTGACACCCATTTCAGGCCTTGAAGCAGAGATCGCACTGTCATAGTGTTTGGGAATATTCACGTATAATTTAAACTCAATCACATGATATCAGATATAAAAAGCAAACATTTTAGAAGAGAATGCAACATCATGGTTGTTTGAACCAATGAGCATTAAGCTGTGTCATCAGCAAGTCGTTTCCCATCGTGCTTTTGGTCAACGCAACTGCATGGCCAGCTCGCTGTTGCGAGAGAGTTTGCGAGAGTCAGCATGACATCACAGCAAAGCAGACTGCCCTCTGACACATTTCTAATTGGCATGCATTTTGCGGTGATCACCCATGATCGGTTCTTTGCAGATTTTGCTCATCTCAAACGAGCCTAAGCTCTTCAGACTTATTATAAAATTTGAAGCTGAACTTCAAGATGCTGACCCTCCAAGAGCAAGTTTACATACTCCTGGCCTAGACTATGCTTTCCATGTTTTGGTTGTACCTGCCATGGTCAATAACAGCCAGTAGTCTCCATACTATACCTCATTCATGTAAAGTTCCTTTTGGTCTCTTAAGAGAGGCCGTAGGTAGACGTAGACTGGTGCAGTGTGGCGCCGATTTGGCAGGGCTGCCACTCTTGTTGCCTCTTGCACCTGGTGACGAACAAACAGTGCAGCGCTCCTGCTTCCACTCACAGAAACTGGCAGATATGCTGATGGGTAAAGGGCAGTGCTAACCTCCCACAGCCAGAGCAGCTCGTTGTTCAACTGTTTTGTGTGCTCTGAGCAAGTACCTGTATAGTTTGACTCCTCAAAGTCATAGTTATAGCAGTCTGGGAACAAGTAGTAGCCCCACAGATGCAGAGGTCGAAGATCGATTCCCATTTTCAGAGTTTCTTCCATGAAACGTCTGGCTTCATGCTGGAATTGTAAGCTGGCATCGCTGAATGCCTGTTGCAGGTCAAGGGAAGAATTCTGCTGGAGGGTATAGTTGACAGACAGTTCTTTGTAGATCTCCTTGTCGTCCAAATTCCGGTCAAACATTGGAAGCCACTCTTCCCAATCCATGACAGCGAGACCAGTGGTTGAGTCCAGAATGTACTGGGTAAACTCTTCCTTAGCTTTATCCAAACTAGCAGACAGGTAGCCCCTCTGCGGGATGCCACCATTATACTCTTTCAAGGAGTGGAGGTCTACATAGGGGTAAAGGCCAATTCGATTTTTGTAGAACAGGGTAAGGGATTGATTGCGTTCCCTGGCAGGTGTGGTGACCGCCTGGAACAGCGATAAATCTAGAGGGACCTTCAGTTGTTGGCATTTAGAAATAGGAGCATTCCATAACAGCACAAAAGGCCTATGGAAGAGAGGAACTACTGTTGGTGGAGGAGACAGTGATGTGATAAGATGCCCGAATGTAATGAAGAGAAAGGTGTAAAATGGTAACCGTTGTTTCCTTTGGTCTCCCATCTGCGTACAGTGATTGAGATTAAAAATTATAATAATGTTTTAAAATAAGTAAAACATTTGTGTAGCAGTATCTTATAAGATTGTTTTGGCACAATAAAATACAGCATTGCAGAAATAAACCCTGAAGTATTCACATTATCTTTGCTAGAACAACGTGACAAATGGTATGCATTTTTAAAACATTCTTGTATGGTGGTTTGTCTAGAGCTTTCTTATAATTCATCAGAAATATATGGAGCTAAGAGATGTCTTTATAATTAAAATGCATATTCTTAGTTAGTTTTAAATTTAGAAATAATGAGTATCCTACCGAGTCAATACAGGTTTCTCCTGTAGCAAGAATCAAATGTAGCTTGCTCAGGTTCCTGTTAAATATTAGCAGAGGTCAATGTTTAAAAACGCAAGACTGTGCTTGTTGTATGTAACTGGAAAAGCAGTGTAGTTAGAAATTATTAATATGCTCTCTGGTTACTTTTAAATACCATTTCCTAAACATCAGGTCACCTAGGCCTAAATCAACTTTATATTTAATGATATACCAAAAGTTTGTTGTTGTTTCATTTCGTACAATCATTTTGTACTTTTGGAATGCAAGAAATATCATTATCATTATCAGATCATTATCTTATTCAATCTGGTAAAAGCAAATGATGTTTGAGTTCAGACCTCTTCGAGACTTAAGGTAATTGTACAGACAGTAGAAGATAGTGTTTGGTTTAGATTTTTTTTTTTAAGTATTTGAACTTTTTGTATTTACCTGTATTTTTGATTCGTGTCAAAACCTCAGCCCCAACTGTAACGTAAAATATGGTCGAAGGGGCATTGGGGCCTGGACAGCTTGCTATCACGAACGAATCCCCAAGGTTATCAAGACATTTTGCAGGAAAATGTAATGCCATCTTCCAGTTGAAGCTCAACAGAAGTTGGGTATAATGTGATCAGATGATGACCCAAAGGGGGGAGGCTCTACAATTTATTAAATCACATACATTTTACTCCATGCACTGTGAATGTTTACATAAATGTCATGTTTGATAAAGGGATTAAAATGTAAGCAGACTTTGTTTGGAAATTGATATACAGGTGGCTTAGTTGAAGATCAGATCAAATTGTATAACAAATTGTTGAAGAAATCTGGGTAGATACAAAGGATTTGCGTAGTTGTTTTCTGTAATGCATTCCAAGATTTTGACAATGAGAATCAAGACCAGGTTACAATCCTTTATTTGCAGTGCATCAAGACTCAAGCGACATTTGTCTTCATCGAGTATTTGATAAATGGTATTGCTTAATGTAAAAAAAAAATCAAGTAATGAATTACACATTGCATAAATGACTGATTTTGAGATGAATAAAAAATAACTCTGTGGAAATATATTTTGGAGAACTTTAGCACTGAGGTAAAATAAAATAAAAAATAAGACACTGACCAATAACGAAGGCTCTGATAATAGTGTCTCATACAAACTACGATCTACATGCAACAAAATGCAGCATTTTAGAAAACTACATACTGAGTCAAAACGGGTCAGAAAATAGTGATAAAACATGGTCCGATTATCCTTCAACCTGAAACTGGACATGTAAGACAACCTGTAGACCTCTATTACAGTTTGCAGATTTTGCTAATTAAAAGTATTCAAAGTACTGAAAGATGTTGAGGCATAATACCTTTCTTTGTTTTCAGTATCGATCATTCTGGCCTCATTCAAACAAGAGCAAAAAAAGACACAGTTTAACGTACAATCATAATGAGTTTTCACGCACCACAGCATACTGTGGTTTAGCAAATGCAGACTTACATGAGTAAACATAGGCTACATCTTCATAATCTTTGGTTTAACACACATTTCAGGAATTTGGGGGACAAAAACAATAAAATGAGACTTTGTACTTTAATGAAATTCAACTAGCTTCAACTCTGGTTGTGTCCACTGAATTTTCTCATCATTAATATGATGAGTACAATGATTTATTCTAGTGTGCAATATTGATAAAAGCTTTAAAATATGATGAAAGATATAAAGATTAATTGTTTCATGTAATGGTATAATGACAAACTTGTCATGTTGGCATTTGTATTGTGTTTTATACAACTTTTAATAAAATGAGAACAGTAACATCTTAACATGATTTTGTGTATACTATCTGTTTTCCCTTTTTTGAGAATATTATAAATTGAGGCATATTTTATTTTATTATGAGTTTAACCATTAGGCTAAGGATTATTTTGACCCACTAGCACAATTCACTTCAAATAAGGATGAATTGATATATAATTATTTTAAGTTTAGCTATTTAGTATGTAGCAATTTTGAAAAATGTAACATTTGGTCAGTTTAGATTATAAAGCATGACATGTTTATATAATATGTGGATCCTACCTCATTTAGGTAAGTTTTGCATACCCAGCGCTCCCTGACTTTGAAGTGCTCTGATAGCAAGTATTGTTGTAAGTGATAAGCTTGCTAATATACATCACGGGAAGCATCTTGGTGTCAGTGCTTTTTAAAAACAGACTGCATAGATTTAACCTTTCCTGTCAGAAAACAGTGACAAGTTAACAATCATCAAGCATTCAAGTTTGTGCAAACAAGGCTTGCATCTCATCTACATTAGCATACAGCACCATTGTAACATCTATCATTTTTCAGTATTGCAAAATCACAAATATTAAAACCTGACTGAGTCATGATGTGCCATCAAAGTGGCTCTTTAGCCGCTTTTCATTAAAGGTGAAGTGTGTCATTTTTCTAATCTGAGATAGGAGAAAATACAACTGTAATTTAGCTATCTGTAGGTTGCTAAATTTAGTTGTCAACCGTGATCAAATTAATTGCAGCATTTGTTATTTGGTATCTTTAAATCAAATTCTCATATATATTTATCAGCCATTGACCACCTTGCTCTCTAAGCTACCGGCGTTGCCTGTCTAAAAATCTTTATTTTGGTTGACCACTAGTGTAAACTTTGGCTTTGTAGCATTTTAAAAACATTTCTCTGTTTGTGAATCTGACCAGCTGAACATGCCAACAGTGTCTTAATGAATGATGTGAGTTTGGGCGGGGCTATCTGTTTATTCAGCCAATGGGGGGAGTGTTTGGGAAACCTGTTTGGGAACATTAATTGTTGTTTTTGCAGTTCCACCTGAGGCCTATTTCATATAACAACTTTACCAAATAAGCCAGGTTTATTTCAGTTAGTCTGACTAAGGCCCTGTCCACACGAACGTGGTTATTTTTAAAACCGCAGCGTTTTCTACGCGGTTTGGCCATTCATCCACATGCAAACGCAGCACCAGTTCACTGAAACCGAACATTTTTGAAAACGCCTGCCAGGGTGAAGATTTTCAAAAACTCCGGTTGCAGTGTTATCATGTAGACATCGAAACCGGAGTTTTTGGCTTGTGACGTCGGAGACTTTGCTGTTATCTCCGCCTACTGGAAACTTTAGGCCAACATGGCTTTACGGTTGAGATTATATCGCCACCTGTTGGTTTGGCATGCTCTTGACAGTGCTTCATAGCTTGCGTTTACGTTTTCATGTGGACAGAGATTTTTTTAAAAACGGAAGAAGGAAAAACTCAGTTTATAAAAATACACGTGTACGTGTGGACATGGCCTAATTGTCAGTTGATTTGTTTCAAAATAAGTCAGACTAACTGAAATAAGCATGGCTTGTTTGGTAAACTTGTTTTATGACACAGCCCCCTGATGATGTTAGTGGTGCAGAAAATACACACTTCACCTCTAAATAGAACTGAAGTTCAACAAGAGGAGTAGAACAGTCAGGATGAACGCGTTTTGTAAAGGCACAGCACTATCCTGTATGTCTTTGTCAACCTCTGGTTTCTTCTTTCCCTCCTCCAAATCCTCTTTGATCATGTTGTCCTCCTCTGTCTCCTCCGGCTCTATGCTATCACAGCGCTCTCCTTCATACCCCTGATAACAGTGACAGCGGAACTTGTCGGCCAGCATCTGCCACTCATTCTTAGATGGCTGTCCGGTCACGTTGAAGGTGCCGTTTCGATTGGACAGAATCCGATAGCTGCCGCGGCTCAGGTGCAGGTAGTGTGGTGCCTGTGGGTCTCTACGGACACATCGCCCATTGGACTGACACAGTAAGTCGCTACAGATTTCTGCTGCCCGGGTAACGTTAGTGATGTACTGACCCAGTCTATGGTTCAGAAATGCCTTTACTTTGGAACAGTTGTGCTGAGGGGACAGAGGAAGTTACAGTAAGTTAAAACTGTGGCATTAAACTACAGGAAACTTAGTGCAAAGTTTGCTGGCAAGTTTATTAATGCATTCTGTATTGAGCCAGAAATCAATGTAAATGTCACATTGCATTGCAATCATTGTATCTCGTGACCTTTTGCATGTGTTAAAGTGTCGCTGCTACAGAAAATATCTAGAACAGGGTTTTTCAAACTTTTTGATGACACAGACCCCAAAATATGGTGGTCCCATTAAGACAGTGATTCTCAACCAGTGGGTTTTTATTGAAAAACATATGGTTCTTGTAACTTCTAGAATCATAAAATGAATTGTGTTTAATGTATTATATCAATGATCCCAGTTTCTTTTAATCAAAAAGTTTGGAAACAAGCAGCTTTGTCATAATAACAGCATAAATGTCTAAATTATCTGATTTAATGTCTGAATTATCTGATCTAAATTATCTGTCGACTTTTAAGTCAAAAGGTTTAGAACCACTGCTTTACAATGGATCAAAAAAATGTATCACCTGAATGTATTTTAGAATTTTTGTCAAGTGAAAATGTATCACCTGAATGTATTTTAGAATTTTTGTCTAGTGTATATCTGAAATGTCTTTTAGAACTTTTTGTTAATTGTATACCTTGTGTAATTTATTCTGAGATCGCCATGAAAATATCCTTGATGCTGGCATGGCATTAAAAAGTGAATAAATAAATAAATTACAATGGATCACCTTTAAAAATTAGCTGTATATTTGACTATTATTCCAACAAACCTGCCTGCAATTTTCAAGTCATCATGGACACCTTGATTAGCTGTTTTAGGTGTGTTTGATTAGATCTGGAGCTAAACTCCAAAGGACAGTGGGTCTCCAGAAGAAAGGTTTTCTTGAAAAGCTTGAAAATCCCTTGTCGAGGAATTTTGTCCTTGAAGCATTTTTTTTAACTAATAAGCACAGCAGTCTTGACTAATGAGACAAATGTCATTGTAGAAGAAGGTACCCGTGAACAGGTGTTTTGAGATATTTCAGGTATATCAAATGGTGTTAAAAATCTCACCCTTGAAGAAGTGAGGTTAAGATCCCCCCAAATGACAAATCCTGCAGCACCCAAAGCAGCGCTTTCTCCTATTGTATGTATCAAGTCTTT